GAATGGTTTCTTTTAAGTAACTGAATTAAATACTTTTGTTTCCCTTGCATAGGACTTAGTTAATAAGATCACTTATGTCTGCCCATATATAGGTTATCTATGATAAACCAAATAGGAGACTCTGACTCAAACAAAATTCCTCTGCCCAGCTATAAACTGTCTTAGTTATCTAATATCAACTAAGGTACAATTCATTGATGATTTAGAGGAATAATCTATTTTGGTCACAATTTACCTAGTGAAGAATGTTCCTACCAGAGGCAGACCCACTCTTAAAAGTGTAATAATCTATGTTAAACTCTCTTCTTTCTTTCTTTCATCAGTGATGAGTATTTTGCTTATATTTAGACTCCAGTGTCCCCTAAGACATTAAAAAAAATCACAAGAAGTGGAAGTCCCATCCTTAAATTGGTATCAACAGAAATAATTAAGATGTTTCTTTGAACAATAAAATTTTAGCAATTACTCTCAGCACTTTAACACTTTTCTTGTCTACACTATTTTATGGTTCTGAAGCCTAACCCACTTCTCAGGAGATGTACATGCAATTAAGCTGTACTCCAGCTAATACTGGATCTGCAAATTCTTTAGGAAAGTGGCATGTTTGTTTGTTTGTTTGTTTTTGCCAGGAGCCCTGTATGTTCTATTACATTCATAGCACTGTTAGAGTGCTGGCAACAAACCAAAGGGTTACAGGCACTGAATTCTCTTCTACAGTGTTTTTTTTTTTTAAATAATCTCTCTCCACTTCCCATTTCTCAACCATCTTGTGTTCAGATGCTAAACTAAAATGTGACCTATCGTATTTTTCTGGGCAACCATTTTAAGGCCCTGATCATGCTGCTGCATCTACATGAGCAAAGCTGTGTGCCCAGGCAAAACCCCAATGAGATTTGGTGCAAGGTCACCACCCATATTACTAAGCAAGAAAATGAAGTCCACTAAATAATTCCTCATTTCCTGATAGTTCGTGCAAGATAAATAGTGCTGGTACAATTCTAGTTGAGGAGGTAAAATCCATATAGATAGCCCCAGACTCAGTGATAATGTATATGTGATTTAGTCTTCAAAAACACTTAAGAGATTTTATTGTAAGGAGTCACTCCTCTGTTTTAGGCTTTATGAGATTTCTTTTCCTCTCTTGCAGGTCCCTGAGCAGCTACAGATGGAAACACCAGTGTCCCCTGCTAATGTATTTTTTAATCATATGTAAATTGGAAAATCAGCAGCTCTCAATGCAGGTTCACTTTAGACCTCTGTTTTAAATAGAATTTAAGAAAAAGCAACTCTATGAATTACAGTGCTAACCACTGGGATGTATTTGAAATGCTAAGCATGGATTGCTGGCTGTGCACTGGCCTTCTTTCTGAGCATAATTTACAGCAGCTTAGGGCTACACTAATTTCATCCTGGCTATTAACTGCAGTGGAGGAATCACTGAGGTCCATGAAAGCCCAGTACCTTGACAGCCAGGAGAGGGGATGGTAGCACAGAATCCATTGTGGTAATTCTGTGTCCCTAATACCATTCCTCTGTGCTAGATTGATCCTCCTGCGGTTGGCTCCACCATCTTTCAGACCTCTGTGCATCAGTGCAGTGATGCAAAGCAGCTCTAGTGCATCTGAGAAACAGGGCCTCTGTCTTTCACAGCTTACAGCTAGCCCTGTAGGGACAGCTGTCATTATCTGGGAATTGAACCTGGGTTTCCTGTGTGGTAGTGCTGCCTGGTTTAAATACTGGGCAGAGTTAGTCAAAAGTTACAAGCTGCTGAAAATTATTGTAAAACTATTTCTCGTTTTCTATATAACAGGTTTAATAACAGTTGGTTTGGGGAAAATATGCTCCTGATAGATTTATATTGAAACAGTTTCTATATGCACACCTTGGTATCCCAGGTCCTTTACAAATACAGCATAAACAATAGCTTATTTCTTAATCACAGGAGTTGGCCATAGCATGAAAAAATGCATTGTAACATTGTCAGTGATTCAACCCGGCATGCATTGTTTGTTACTCACTGTTTGCACGTTCAGATAAAGCTCAATAATACACAGCTGCAGCAGCCGTTATCAGTGTACACAGAGAAAGTGGGTGTAAGCTAATCTGAATAATGTGATAGGGCAGACCAAGAAGGACAGTCGTTGAAACAAGGATGGCCAAACCCCAGTAGAGTCAGAAGTCCAATTTGATTTGCATAATCACCACTAAATTATCCAGATCTTTTTGGTTTAGAAATCTGATAGGACAGTTTAGGAGATAAGACTCTCATGACCTTTCCAGAACATCAGGGTTTCAGTCGAGTCAGACATCAAAGTGGCATGCACTTCGACATCTGATGAGTTTCCACGATCTCCATGTCTTATATAAACCAGAAATGCAGAAAGCACAAAAATATAGCGTTTGGCTCAAGGAGTAGGGGAAGTTTTTGATCTATTCTTAGACTGTCCTAGTCAGTTTGCTCATTTCTCACATGAAGAGCTATTAGGAATTTATAAGTGGCACCCTTGCTTCTGAGTCAGCACTGAACCAATCCCAGCATGGAGCTAGAGGATTATATGAGGGGGAGGGGAGATTTCTAAAGTTTTATAATGGAGGACCTGACCATGGTGGTTATTAAAGATCCCATGCCATCTTTTGCAAATATAGGGTGCCGCCCCTCTCCCTTGGCCGCCCCAAGCACCTGCTTGTTAAGCTGGTGCCTGGAGCCGGCCCTCATAACACTGCCTATCTGAACTCCTCATGCGCTTTCGACTGCATACACGCACTATTGCCAAGTATTGACATTTTATCACAAGGATCACAATATTTGGCATTTTTCTTTAAGCCCTAGACTCTGCAGTCAAGTGAATACATTAGACTCTAAGGGTTTGTTTAAAAGTAAGTTTCTAGTCCTCATGGTTATGGATATAGTTTTGAAAATGTGACCTTAAAGATGCAAATGCCAGAAGGAAACAAAAATAATGTAAATGTGTTATTTTTTTTAAATCTCACAATCTGTAAGTCGGTCTCATGATTTCTGAGGGCTGATTTAGGATTTCTCAATGCTTGGAGTTGGCAATACTGTACATGATTCCTAATCCTAAATTGTTGTGCAGTATTCCTTTTCTCTGTTGTACAGCTGCTGTTTCCCACTGCAGAGGTGACCCCTACATACTCAGAACGGTATTGTAAGGCCTAGTTAAGGAATATTTATAAAATGCTTGGAGATTCTTCAATGGAAGTAGCAAAGTATTATTACTATTTAGTTACTATTTCTGTTTTATTTTTATTACACAGACTATTACGCAGGTGTAGAAAATGGACAGCATCCAAATGTAATCAGAAAAAAATGAAAGTGAACTTCATTACTGGCCATTTATTCGTCCTGTGCTGTTCATCCTAATCAAACTTAGTTTTTCCACCTATGAAATGGTTTAGCATAATAAAAGAATAAAGATAAAGACTGAAATGAGATTTAAAAAAATCACAGCATTGCAGCAAGCAGAGAAATGGTTCAACAATTGTGAATTTCAAGCAACATAGTCATGAGTAAGCCTGCGTGTCTGTCACAGAAGTCACGGATTCTGTGATTTTCCATGACCTCTGTGACGTCTGCAATGGCCGTGCTGGTTCAGGGGCTGCTCAGAACCAATGACCTTTGAGCCTTTATGGAGTCTCAGTGGCTTCATTTGACTGCAGTATTGTGGACACAAATATTAGTGGCCAAGTAAGATTATTTTGGCAGGATACTAGTAATACTCTACTGGTCTAGAGAGTAATTCTGAGCCTTACTGTGGGTCTGGTTAATGTGACTGTAGAGTGACTTTTAGGTCACGTATGGCAATAGCATGTGATTTGCCTTTCTCTTCTGTATTTTGAATCAACCTAAACTTGTTTTTTTTAGTAACTGAGTTACTGGACTGTCTTTAAAGACATCTGGGGTAGCAACAGGAAATACTGATTTTTACAAAAATTACATAAATGCATTAACTATTTTGACCTGAAGGTAAAAGGACTATTTTTAAAAATAAAATAAATGTAAGATATATATAACCAGTACTTCACAATAAAACGTATGAAAAAAATCATGTTGCAATTTTTTTAATATTTCAAATTCCTGTTGCTTGTGTGGATCTGTCACTCATGCAATTAGGGTGACCAGATGTCCCGATTTTATAGGGACAGTCCTGATATTTGGGGCTTTGTCTTATATAGGTGCCTATTACCCCCCATCCCCGTCCCGATTTTTCACATTTGCTGTCTGGTCACCCTACATGCAATTTGCTTTCTTCTTAAATGAGCTGCCAAGCTCCCCGCTCATCCTGAAGGGCGCACGAGTGGATCTGCATGTTGCGTGAAGGGGCTGGGACCAGGCAAACACACTGAAGGCATCAGATGAAGTGGGCTGTAGCCCACGACAGCTTATGCTCAAATAAATGTGTTGGTCTCTAAGGTGCCACAAGTACTCCTGTTCTTTTTAGGCAAACACATTGCAACTTTATATGGGCGTTTCCTGCTTTGCAAGTCTTTCACTCCGGAGCAGTTTTGTTGGAGCATCACCCCGGCCAACCTGAAAGGGGCGAGGGTGAAGCAGAGAGGAAGGGCAATACATTGCAGAAAACCTCTTCCCTGCTGCTCTTGTATTAGCGCTAAGTAGGGTGACCAGATGTCCCGATTTTATCGGGCCAGTCCCGATTTTGGGGTCTTTTTCTTATATAGGCTCCTATTACCCCCCACTCCCTGTCCCGATTTTTCACACTTGCTGTCTGGTCACCCTAGAGCTAAGCGTCAGCGGCTCCCTGCCCCCGAGAGGTGCGGCTGGGGGTGAATAAGCAGTAGCCAGCCCTGTTTGCTGGGGGAAATGGCAGCCTGGGGCGGGGGAGGGATTTGCTGGGGAGCCCGGCCCTGCACTGAACTTCCCTCCTCCACGTGATTTCCAGGAACCGCCACTCGGCGGCTCGCTGGGAGTTTCACTTTCCCCTCCCCGGCCCGCCTCTCCCGCTGCCAGCGGAGCGGGTGCCGTGCGTTACTGGGCACGCTCGGGGCACCCTCAGTAACCCAGCCCTGCGGGCAGCAGTCGCCTCCACGACCCCGGCCATGGCGGAGCTCTTGCGGGCGCCGTCCGTGCCCTCCCTGGCCGGGCTGGAAGAGGAGCTCACCTGCTCCATCTGCCTGTGCCTCTTCGAGAGCCCGGTCACCACGCCCTGCGGCCACAACTTCTGCGGGCCCTGCCTGGACGTCACCTGGAGCGGCCTCCAGGCGGGCTTCAGCTGCCCGCAGTGCCGGGCCAGCTTCCCGCGCCGGCCCGAGCTGCAGAAGAACACGGTGCTGTGCCGGGTGGTGGAGCAGTTCCACAGCCCCCAGCCCGCGAGCCCGGCCGCCGAGGGGGGGAAGAAGGGCTGGGACGGGAGCCGCTCCGAGGTGGCCTGCGACAGCTGCCTGGAGGCCGCGGCGGCCAAGACCTGCCTCACCTGCCTGGCCGCCTTCTGCCCGGAGCACCTGCGGCCCCACCTGGAGAGCCCGGCGTTCCGCGACCACCAGCTCTGCCCGCCGCTGCGCGACCTGCCGCGGAGGAAGTGCCAGGACCACAACAAGCTGCTGGAGTTCTACTGCCGGGACCACGCCCGCTGCCTCTGCTGCGTCTGCCTGGTCAGCCACAAGACCTGCGCCACCGGCCCGGTGCAGGACGCCAAGGCGGACAAGGAGGTGAGGCGGGCGGGCGAGGGCCCCGGGCCCGGGGGGGCGCGGACCGAGCTCTTCTCTGAGCCCCAGGCTGGGTTTGCTCCGCGGGTTTCATAGAATATCAGGGTTGGAAGGGACCTCAGGAGGTATCTAGTCCAACCCCCTGCTCAAAGCAGGACCAATCCCCAATTTTTGCCCCAGATCCCTAAATGGCCCCCTCAAGGATTGAACTCACAATCCTGGGTTTAGCAGGCCAATGCTCAAACCACTGAGTTATCCTGATCTCTCCCGCCCAGTGGACATTTGCAGCGCCGGCCTCCAACCTTTTTACCACCAAGATCACTTTGGGAATGTAAGGGCAACCCAGGATCTACCCCGGCCCTTCCCCGAGGGCCTGCTCCCTCCATCCCCACGGTCTCCTTTGCTCACTCGCTTTCACTGGGCTGGGCCAGGGGATGGGGGGTTGGGAGAGGGTGGGGGCTCTGGGCTGGGGCTGAGGGGTTCTCAGGGTGAGAGGGGGCTCTGGGCTGAGCCTGTGGTAGGGGATTGGGGGGCGGGGGTGAGGGGTGCTGGCTCTGGGAGGGGGCTCAGGGCTGGGGTGCAGGAGGGGGTGTGGGGTGCTGGCTCTGGGAGGGGGCTCAGGGCTGGGGATTGGGGTGCAGGAGAGGGCGTGGGGTGCTGGCTCCGAGAGGGAGCTGGGGATTGGGGTGTGGCCTCCCGCCAGGCAGCACTTACCTTGGGTGGCTCCCGGTTGGCGGTGTGGCAAGGCTAAGGCAGGCTCCCTGCCTGCCCCGCAGGGCCCCACTCTCCCCGGCCGTCTGGGGGGAGGGCGGCGAGCCCGGTCGCGGCCCCGCTCTCGGGCCGGAGCGCCGCCCCCTCCAGGTGCTGTCCCAAGCACATACTTGGTAGGCTGGTGCCTGGAGCCGGCCCTGTTGGGGCAGCTATTGCAGACCTTGCTGACACCCAGGGTGGCTCAGCCTTTGTCACAGGATGGGGACACAACAGGGTGGTGGAGTTCCATTGTTTTTATCACCGTTCTAGTCTCTGTCGGACTGTGTGTATTAAGGCCGTGAATCTGCAGTCAGATCCTTGCAGGCAAACTCTCTTGCATCATGCAGAGAGCCTTGTGGGGATCTTAGTGGGCCCCAGAGTCAGCCTGCACAGATAGGATGGGGGAGGGGTGTCTGTGGACTCCGTTCTGACCACAGATGCACACCTGCAGCTTTTGAACCCGTTGGCAACAGTCCAGTGAATTATGAAAAACTTGTGCCAATGGTGAGCTCTTAATTCTTCAGATCTACAGCCACTAGAGCTATTCAGGTCTAGATCAAGGGCCTGAGCACCTTCCACTGGTGAGACCCACCAGGGAGTGGGTGCTCTGAGTGTCACAGAAATGGGTCCTAAATATTCTTCAAGTGGCGGAATCTGTATGTAGTAGACCAGGAAAGTAGCCTTTGCAAGTGGGTTTTAAGAGGGACGAAAGTGTGGGGAGTGGAGGAATCACATGGCTTATTAAGGGCCCAGTCTTACAAGCTTTTGTGCTTAAGACTTCCATTGATTTCCATGTGAGATCTGTAAGCTCTGCAGTTTAGGTTCTGGCCATAAACATGTTTATGCACAAATACCTCTGTGACCCCCAGGCATAGCTAGTGTGATGCTGTGGCCCAGTGGGGCACTGGAGTGGAAGTCAGCACAACCTGGGTTCTATTCTTGGGCACGTCACTTCACCTTTGTTGCTCAAATTTACTCTCTGTAAAATGAGGAGAACGACACTTGCCTCCTTTTGCTTCAGCCTTTTAAGAACTTCAGCTGAAAAGTCTTCTGCACAGGCTGGCTGGTGGTGGTAGAAGAAGCACGCTCTGGTTGGGAAACCTGATGGTGAAACCAAAGATACTTCCCCGGGTGGCTCAATTTGAACCGTTAGTGAGACGTATTGAATTCATATAACCTTTCTCATCCTGCCTAAACTGTATTGTTCTGTGTGTACAAAGTAGAACCTAAACACGGTCGGGCAGGGCTTCTTAGCAACACCCTGGAGAGAAACTGAGCCAAGATAATAGAGCGCTGGGTAGGCCAGATGTGAAAGCCTGTTTTTTGGATCTGGGGTACCTATTTAGGGTGGGGTTGGATTAAAATTAGGTTAAGGTTCAGTCTTAAACCCACGAGAGCCAGGAAGGCTGCTGTGATAAGTGTGCTCTGACAGAGGTGCTGTGATAGGAGCACTGGTAGACTCGTGTTATTGATACCGGACTGCGTGTGCGTCACGACTCGGAAAACATGGCGCTGCATCAGTCATGCTTGCTCACCATCCCAACCCTGTACAGAGATTGTCTTTGTTTGTACAGTTAAGGAACATTGGATTTAAAAAAAAAAAATCCTGTGTTAGTGATAAAGGCTGATTAAAACTAACCTTTTAATTTGCTTTTCACTATTTATATGGTGCCTATTGGGAAGAGGTGCAGTATCTATGCTTTTAATTTGGGGTCTGATCTGTTTTGCAGTCACAGCTGAAGAGCAGACTGACGGAGCTGTATAATCAGAGCGAAAAAGCTTCTCTGGCGCTGGATGAAGTGAAGGTGCTGCAAAGACAAGCCAGTGTAAGTGGATAGCCCTTGTTTAAAAATGGCTCTTGTTCTGCTATTGGGGTTATGCTAGCCACTGGGATCCTGGCTTCTTGTATGTGGATCCTGTAATACTCAGATAAGAATGACGTTTAAGCAAACACCCTGGGACGTACTGGGGTACAATCCAGACTAATGAGCAGCTGTGTCACCCCTGCCCTGCAACCTTGGGTACCTTATGATACCTTGCTGAAGGAGCTCCCACCTGGGATACTCACAAACAGCCTTCCAGCATGCAAGCCACACCCTGAATGTCTGTGTGCAACTGCAGCCTGCCAGCCTCGCTTGGGTTACATTCTGGCTGGCTCTCATCAGCCTTATACTGCAGGGCGACCCCAGAGCTGTATGTTCTGTGCTGCCCAGCCCTCTCCTTGACAGTACAACTTGTATACAGTCTTTTATGTCTGTAATAGAAATAATATGCACACAGTTGACACCCCAAATGGAGTTTCCCGCACACTTCAATTTAAACACACTCAATTAGATAAAACAAGTGTATTAACTATAAAGAGAGACTTCAAGTGAGTACAAGTAATGAGGCATAAAAGTCAGAAATGGTTACAAGAAAAATAAAGATAAAATGCAACTGGTGCCTATTTTAACAAACTATGTTAAATTCAAAGTGAAGTTTTCTCACGACATGCTTTCAGCAGTCCATCGGCTACTTGCTTCATTGTTCACATCCATTGAATGGATGGGGGGCGGGGGGTTGGGGTGTTTGTTCCTCCTTTTTATAGTCTCAGTCAGGAGACAAAGTCTATATGGAAGAATATTCCCTGCTGGTTTTTTCCCACCTGTTTGAACTTCCTTTGTCTCCCCTTCCTGCTTCATGACTCTGGTTACTGCTTAAATGCAAATTAAGCAGAGCACACATTACTTTTTTTTAGGACAGACCTGTTTGCCAAATTTTGCTTGGTAGGGCTGTGGTTTGGAACATGTATTAATAACATCATACAGGGAAGTTTTATAACTTTGCAGACAGTGTTGCCACACACACTTTATCAGGAAAATGTTGACCAGCAAACTTACGAGTTTTTTCAAGTGATTTGATTCCTTACAAGACGTGCCTTGTACAAAAAAAATTACAATGGTGTGGACATGGGATACATTCTGTCACATATAGGGTGACCAGACACCAAGTGTGAAAAATCGGGATGGGGGGGGGGAATAGGTGCCTATATAAGAAAAAGCCCCAAATATCAACTGTTCCTATAAAATAGAGACATCTGGTCACCCTAGTCATATACCCATATGAGTAGTATTTTGACAGGATGTGTACAGAAGGCATTGTAATCATCTGACTAAGAATGGCCTATGTTTATGTGGTAATCCCCGTTGGTACTAACGGTGGAGTTAGAACCCATTGAAAAGCATGAGCCTGTACAGCTTGAGCTAAAGGAATAAGAACTGGTCCAAGCCCACCGAAGTCAGTGGGAGCCTGCTCCCTAAAGAGGGAGGATAGTCCAGTGGTTAGGGTCCTAGCCTGGGATTTGGAAGACCGGGGTTCAGTTCCATGCTCCACCTCCAGACTCTTTTCTGTGATGTTTGGCATGTCATTCTGGGCGTGTCTGTATGGGGACACTCAGGAGAACTAATCCAGATTAACTAAAGGTGTGAATTAAAAGTGGATTAGTTAAACTGCATTAAACCTGTGCGTGGACATTCTTCAGAATTGAGAATGGCCTTAATTTGGTTTACCTTAGATTGCTACAGACGCTAGCTAAGGAACCAGACACGTTGTCTCTTTATTGCAGACTAGCCACTACAAGGGGACAAAGAACCACATTCACCCCATAATGAATCCCTCTTGGGGAAAGTGAGGGTAACCAGCTGGCACTCCTTGGGGTGAGAGCACGCTTTGTGCAATCTCACTGACGAGCCGACTGGAGACTGTTTAAACTCCTCCGCCTTTCTCTCCCCTCTGCCAGTAAGCAGGCGTGTGCATGGCACTGCCCTCTGCATGTGGTGCTTCTGTGAGCTGTGCTGACTGCCTGATACTGTCACCTCTGCTGTACAAAGGAGCAGGGGACTTGCAGAGGGTGTGCGTGCCCATCTAATCTCATGGGAGCGGCATAACTGAAAATGGTGACGTGGAGGCTCCTGCTGTTGACTTGGATGTCGTGGGGAGCTGAATTTCTGTGGGCTTCTGATGCTAGGGCTGAACTTCACCCAGCTGGAGTCAGGGGAGAGGAGGTGTAACCTGTTTTAACTCAATATGGGCCTTTGTTGCCCTCTAATAGCTGGACCACATATAGAGATCTGAGTCTGCTACTGCCTCCAAGCTAATGCATCTGGTCTCTTAGCTCAGGCAGTAGACGCTCACGCTGTTAGATCCAGAGGTCCCAAATTCAATCCATGCTGATGACCAATGGGCTATTACATGTGAATACCCTGCTGGGTCAGAGACATCACATTCAGCTCATCCCTTCCGAATAATAACTTTGCACCCCCATCGGGCCAGTCTGTCTTGGGGGATCTGGAAGTGATTTGCAGACGTTAGTTAATGATGCCTCACAAAACCCCTGTGAGACAGGAGTTGTTATAATCCAGGGGTCGGCAACCTTTCAGAAGTGGTGTGCCAAGTCTTCATTTATTCACTTTGATTTAAGGTTTCGCGTGCCAGTAATACATTTTAACGTTTTTAGAAGGTCTCTCTCTATAAGTCTATATTATATAACTAAACTATTGTTGTATGTAAAGTAAACAAGGTTTTTAAAATGTTTAAGAAGCTTCATTTAAAATTAAATTAAAATGCAGATCTTACTAGTTTAGTGCAGTGGTTCTTAACCTGGGGTGCCTGCACCCCCTGAATGTGTGAGATGCCCTTTCTGGGGGTGCGAGACATGCGAGACTTTTTTGGAAGGTAAATCTTCGAAAACACAAATTAAGCACAGGCACATAAGTACAACTACTTTGTTTCATCAAATCTATTTATTAACGTTATACATTTTTTAACGATTACTGTAATATACATACACTACAATTAGCTTAAAAACTTGAAAACTTCGTAATTTTTGATAAGGGGTGCGAGAACATATTTTGAGAATTCCAGACCATCAGCGGGCTGAGCGGGGCTGAGTGTAGTGTATTAAATTGCTCCCCATAGGAATGTGCTACTTGCGGTGTACTACTTACGGCTGCCAGTCCTGGTGCTCCGCAAGTAGCACATTCCTACGGGGAGAAATTTAATACACTACACCGGCGGACAGAACCACAGACAGGCGGTGGGCTAAGCGGCTCAGCCCGCCGCCAGTCTGGGGTTCCATCTGCCGGCTCCTGCCAGCTGGGGTCCTGGCTGCCGGCCCCGCTCAGCCGCTGCTGGCCGGGGGTTCCGTTCACCCAGGCTGGCAGCTGGCTGAACGGGGGCAGCGGCCGGGACCCTGGCTGGCAGCAGCGTGCCAGTAAAAATTGGCTCGCGTGCCGCAGGTTGCTGACCTGTTATAATCCTTATCAAAATCCTTATCAAAAGAGGTGTTTTGACTTCCCCTTGAAGTCTTGATTTGCAGTTCTCCATTCTAACCACAAGATGGCAGAACCTGCCTTGTTTCATGCCTAACACTGAGTGACTGATTTTTGGGGGCGAGGGTGGGGATGGGCTCTGTTTCTGCTCCCTTTGAAGTGAATAGGAGATTTGCCATTGATGTGGGGAGAAGGATAAGGCCTTTTAGGGGACTGCTGTGGGGAAATGGAATGCAGGCAGAGATAGTTCACTACAGTCCTTACCCCACAAGTAGCCGCTTTGAAACCAGTGTCAATATGTTGGTGATTTAGGAGACAGCTGCCCGAAAGATGGATTTGCTCAGAAGTGAGTTCTTGGAAATTAAAGCTTTAATAGAAGAAGAAGAAAACCAGGCAATGAGGAAGGTTGAAGAAGAGGAAAAGCGAGTCTGTGATAAGTTTGATTATGTCCATAAGGTCCTGGGAAAGAAGAAAAATGAAATTCAGGTCATCAGGGACCAGATTGAAATGGCACTGACTGAAGATGATGATATTACATTTTTAAAGGTGAGTTCTGATGTCCGACTTTGTTTGAGCTCAGAAAGAGACTTCGGAGGAGCCCTGCTCTAAGACTTTTTATCAATCCGTTAACAGTACATAATAAGAGATTTTCTATAAAGATTATATTATTAATTGCTATGTGATTTGGCTTTATAAAAGGCATGGAAATGAGTCCTTTGAGTTAACTGTCCTGTGAGTACTCTAGGCAGTGATATGATTTGCCCGTTGAATCACTGGTTAGAATTGTTATTCCTGTTGTTGTCTGCATAATTGTTTTCTCCCTTTTTTTTATGGGCAAATTATCCTCCAGTTTCTTTCTTTTCTCACAGCCTTTAGCCACAGTTGCCCCCTCCTGGCAGGGTCAGTTAACCAGAGAAGTAGTCATGGTGTAACTTAAGTTCACTGCTGTGAGCCATCTACAATAGCTCTTCCTCATTTTTCAGATATCATGTGAAAAAATAATCCATGTAGGCTCCTTTTTATTGAATTTTGCCATGAATGATCAGTGTTTGAATAGAACCTCCCTTCCCCCAATAAATCAACACACACAAGAAATAATGGAGAAGCAAAATAAGTTAAGCCAGTTATGACATTCCAGACTCAAATTTTTCTATGCAGTGACTTATCCCTGGCTTCATGAGCTTTTCCATATCTTATTACAGGAAGCAGCAAAATTGCGAAACACTTCAACCAAAGACGTTTTCATCCCCAGAATTGATCTGGACCAAAACTTGATACACACCATTTATCAAGGTGCCTTTTCCCTTAAAGAAATAGTGAAACGAACGGTGAATCAACCTCAGGAGAAGAAAATGGAAGGTACGGTATCATTTCAGAGAGAATTACCACTGCGGGCCTCTGTTTTATTGTTTTGAGATTAAATAGTATAACTTCTTTAAATTTAAAATATTCAGAGGCAGACTTTTCTGGCTTGTTACAATTTTGTATATGGATGTTTTAAAACTGTTGGTCAATTGAGCTGTTTTGTAAAGTAATGAAACCCTCCATCTCAAAATAAAAATGCTACAAGTTAAATACTCAGGATGTTTAGGAAAGAGAACTGATGTAGGTGTGTTTTTATTGAAAGCTTGTCAACAGGACTAAACAGTGGTACGCTTTATTTACATTTGGATAAACGTATGTGTGTCTTGATACTTTCCCACTGTTTTTTCCTTTGACAGAACTCTCATAGAAAGCTATATTATCATGAAGAAGTAGAATGTGATAAATAAAGAATTAGTCTTGTATCTTGACCTATGAGGAGAAATTCACCAAGAGAATTAAAAATGTGGAAAGAAATGGAATTACACTTTTCCTGTATATCTGTAGGCGGGTTTATCTGTGTTCCTAGCACGTTTCCCTCATCTGTTCCGCTATTGCAGCCTTAGCATAGAATGTTGTTTTCCTGCCGTACTCCTCTGTGTGTGTAGAGTCATGTTGTAGAGAGCAGAAAGTTGGTTGTTTGATACATGATCTTAGACTGGGGAAGTAGGGCTGGGTGGAAATCATGGAGCCAAGAGTAAAATGGTAAATGTGAAATAAATGTTAGTGAATTTTATAGCACTGATCGAAGAGTGGGTTATCCCCATTAAGCTTTCTAGTTTATTGGCTCCGTGTCTGCAAGTCAGACCTGCTGAATGGGACAGATATCCCTCTTATCAAATCAAAAGTGTTGGGCTGTATTTTTTATCTGTAATTAAGTACATTCTTGAAGTGTGACAGGGTGTCAGGTTTTATACCCTCTTTGTAGAGGTGCAGAGTTATTCTGCTGACTCACCTTGATAGCCAGTCTAAGCATGGCTCTTTAGCTTCACGTTTAGGCATATAAAAGGCTGACAGTCACTCAGAAGGAGAAAAAAAATAAAAATCTAGAGGGAGTAAGTGTTTGTGGGATCAGACTTTTGTTTGTAAGTACAGTCTAGCTGCATGGGTCAGCTATATGTCTAAGGATAAAGACAAATCTCAGAATGGGGGTGATTTTTGAATTATAGCCCACTGTGGGAAACTGGTGGACTTCTTTATAACTAAAAATCCATCTAGTTGAAATAGTCTGAACCTCTAAAATAAAATGCTTAAGCTGGGTTTAAGTGCCTGTTTTAGGGGTTTGTGCCATTTCAAGTAAATATTTTTTAAAATCCATGTAGTTTAAACTGATGTACTTCTCCAGTGTAGACAAGGCCTGTGCATGGTGTTGGAAAGTGAAGGGGAATCTGGCTTGTTTACAAAGTGTTTGAAGAGGCCCCGCTATCTTCATCATGTCGAGAGCCAAGTCTTTTGTTGCTGCACAAAAGCTAGTGGGCTTGTAAGGGCTGCTAATAAAGATCAATATGTATCTGAAACAGTTGTACTTACTAATACAAATATCCATAACAGCAGGTGGACAGTCCAGACCAAGTGTGGAAGAGAAGGGTAAGTTCACCACGCCCTGTCCTCCTTTCTCCCCTGCTTCTATCTTTTTCACTCCTTCCTTGGCTGTTTTTAAATGTTTTTAATAAAAACAGATACAAAGTACTGGTACTGATCCCTGTACCTGACTCTCTGGCAAGACCAAGCTTTTTTTTGTTGTACCTTGTGTCAGATGTAGGAAGACGACAACATTGTAATGAGCTTATCTTTATAAAGGTGTGCCTTGTTGTTCATCAGTATTACAGTGGCCTGGGGCTGCATTGTGTTAGGTGCTGTGCATGCAATGAGAGAGAGTCCTTGCTGTGAAGAGCTTATATTGTAATAGAGAAAGGCGTAAAGCGCTAGAGACTCTATGACATCCACTAGTGCCTTTCCTGTTGCCAGGCTCTGAGACCTTACAGTGTCTGGCAGTATAAAACTCTAAGACAGATAGAAACTACTAGTACCCTATTTTACAGATGCAGAAAGATGAACTTAGCCCCATTAAGCTGAGCAAAAGTGTTTGTAGGAGTGGGGCTTCAGTTGAATTCCCAGCTCTGCCACAGATGTGGGCAGAGATCTCCTGACTCCCAGCCAGATACTTTAACCCCAAGACTATGCTTCCTCTCATTGTACCTTGTTACAGCAATACAGCTCTAAAATATGGCACGTGTGATTTCATTGCAGCAAATCTACAGTGGAAACCTAAGGCTTTTCAAATAAACCCTTCAAATAAACTCTCAGCATCTGGAAGAAAAGCTGTTGGATCACGTAAGTTAACAGGGTGGCCATCAAAACCCAAATGCTGCTCATTCAGTGTTTCCTCTAGCAGTCAATGCAGCAGTATCTGCGAGAGCAAATAGATGACTACTAAGGGGCACTGTCAACTTGAAAATCACATCTCTGTTTGAAACGAGAGCAAGCTTCTCCAAGACGACTAGAACTGAAAGCTCAGGGAAATTATTCCCCCAGCCCTGAGTTTGGTTAGATTGTATACCCAGTGATGTCAGCTGTTCAGTGCATGTGGCTGATGGTTGTGTATCTTGTCTCTTGCATGATGACATCCCTCCCAACAGGGCAGAGCCCAGAACTGGGAAGTTCACACCCCTGCTCTTTCTTAGGCTCCACTAGAGGGCATGTACCTGTAACGGCTGCTGCAAAAGACAGGCATGTGCACTGAAAGGCGGGCCCAAGCAGGGTTGGTTTGTTGCTCCTTCACCCACCCAAAAGGCTCCCCTTCCCCCCTAAATTTCTGCAAGGGAGACAACAGAAAATTGGAAAAGTTTTACAAGTCAAAATGAATAACTTGAGGAGCCCTTAACCAAAGGGTGTGCTTTCGAAAAGTCAAGTGAGTTAGTTTTACAGCGTTCAAGTTGACGGTATTCCTCTAACATAGCTTTGGTATGGGAATGGCAGGTAACATCTGCAGGGGTGAGCCCTTGGAGAGAACATTCTTGGTATGTAATTTGCATAGCCCAAGAATTTAGTGCATGGTGTGTTACTGATAGGGACTTGAAATAATTACAACTCTGCCTATTGCTAGAGGCACCTACATATACATGTGAAACGCCTGAAGATTGCGGATTGATGGCAAGATCATGCCCTGGGCCTCTATGCTGCTTTTCTGTGTCCAGATGGTGCAGGGCCCTGGTCCTGCGAGGTGCAGAGTTTTCTGCGAGGTGGAAACCCAATGGGATCTGAGAACACCTGGCATCTCGCAAGGTCGAGTGCCTCGTGAGGGCTAACCAGGCAAATTGCACATGGTGTGGTGGCCCACTGGTCTGTGTGGTTCAGGCACTGCTGTGTGTGTCAGTGCAGGTGGAAAGGCTAAGCAAGACTCTCCTTGGCCTTTCAGTTCTCTGCCTGCTAGTCCAGCTATTCCACAGTAACAGTGCAAGGGACCAAAGTCTCTATTAAGCTGGCCATAAATGTCTGTTCCTTGACTGTTGTTGCATGTGATGCGTCCTGCTTTATAAGCTGCTCATGTTCTGTCTTCTCCCTTCACAAGAAGCTGCAAAAATAGGTAAAGCCCCTCAGAAGCCTCAGTCGGAGTTGAGTGAGGATGCAGACACCAGTGAGTGATGGATTGTTCATTGTTCTTGTTGATCTTGGTTATGTTTATGCTCCTGGGGCCCAATCCTGCCAGGTGCTGAAGCCAAGGAGGGGTGGGAAGGCAGATGAGATTCTTGGTACCTTGCATTGGGACCCATAGATAAAGTGCCCTAGGCAAGCGCTTTTGGACTGATGTATCTTACCTTGACTTTTTCAGTCTGATTTGGCAAGGTCTCCTCCATTCCATTGGCTTAAAAAAAACAATCACCTTGTGAAGAAATGACCTATGTATAATATAGAGCTATTAATCTGTAGCTAGAGCTCTTGAAGAGGGTAAAACAAACGTATAGCAACTAGCTATCTTGGATGTAGACACAAGCAATGTTGCACGGTCTTATGTTAGCTGTGCATTAGTGGTTTAAAAACCACTGGCTCGACCCTGCAAGCGCTTGACACGTAGACCTTCCGTTGGTTTCAACGGGAGTTCTGTGCCTAGAGCATGTGCAGAATCAGGCCCTATATTGTCAGAGCTGAACTGACTGGTAGCGTATGCTTCAGCCTGTTGGAGAAGTGAGCAACCACGTACACTCTGTGGGTGTGTATGCGTAATATTTAATTTCCAGCATGGAAAAATCTGCATTGGACTGTAATGTGCCTGCACTTCAGCTGCTGTTAACTGCAGTAATTCCATTGGCTTCAGCAGAGCTATACCAGCTGCAGCATTGTCCTTCTGTGTCAATGGATGTTGTTTTTAAATGTTAATACATCCGGCCTTACACTGAGTAACAGAGACCTTTACTTTTTCAGGGGATAAAAGAAAACCTGCCAAATCTGGTAAGTTCAGAACTTCAAGAGACTTTTACTCAAAAAACCCAAAACGTACTACTTAAAATGCAAAGTGGAGGATGGCTGACTTCAGTGTGCTGGAGGCAAGTGGAAATGAGCGCTAAGCTCCTCATGTTTCTTCAGGAGAGAGGTGTCTGGCTGTGTCAATTTAGCTCGCAAAATTGTGCGTGAGAATGGCCCTCTGTGGGGACTGGACCCGTGGCCTCCCTCACTGAAAGCCTAGTCTCTAGTGCTTGAGCCCAAGGACCCAGTCCTCTAGCTGGCATCCGTAGAAGAGTCATTAACCTCTTCTGTGGACGGGCCACTAGGGAGGATCCAAGACCCCCACTGACGTAATGTGAGCTGCATGTGGAAGATACATAGTTGTCAAGCTTGGGTCAATAGAGGCTCTGGAATGGAAATGCAGGGGTGAGACAGGGTAGCCTCGGGCTGCATTTGGCAAAGCTGAGAGGAAATTACACCTGCGGGAATTCTGTGCCAAAAAATTCTGCGCCTATTTTAAAATTCTGCATATTTTATTTGTCAAAATAACACAATATAATTCAACCCCCCACAATTCAGCCCTCCCTCGGTTCAGTCCTCCAGCTCCCATCATCAGTTCAGCCCCCCCAACCCCATCGACCCCCTGCTCTCAGTTCACCCTCCCAGCCCTCTCCCCATCTGCTCAGAACCTACCATCAATACAGTCCCTCACCCCATCAGCCCCCACCCTCCTCACTTCAGCCCCCAGCCTCACCTCTGCTCCTTAGAGTTCTTCACCCTCCCCAGGCCTCAGGAGCCCCCGGTGGGAGCTCCAGCCGCACCTCAGGCTGACAGCGGGAGCATTTTGGTAGAAATCACAAATTCTGCCTGGAAAAAAAATTCTGCAGGGAACATTAGTTCTGCGCTAATTCTGCAGTGTGCAGTGGTGCAGAATTCCAGCAGGAGTAGGAAATGCACACGGTGCCTGAGCCAGCTGCGTCAAAGTCCCTGGCAAAACTTCCCCCCAGACTTACGGCTGTATTTCCTGTTCCTGCAAGGGGAAAAGTGTCCTCCATCCTGATTTCTCTAATGGGTGTCGAGGGCACTGAGGGCTTTGCGGGAGGTGCTGTGCACCTGCAGGATTGGGCTCAGGATGACTAGCTCAGTCAGGTTGCAAGTCTCCCTCTCACGCATGACTTGCTGAACACTTAGAGGAAGAAATAGCTAAAAGTATAAGATGGGGAACTGGGTGATTTAGGGGACTTGGCAATAAGGTGTGGAGCTGCTTAACCTGTCTCAGTTTCAAATCGGGCCAAGGTCAGTAGTGGCCTGTGTGAAATAAGTTAGTGAGCAGTCCACACCCAGAACCCTCATCACAGCTACCCACCATGGGCTGGCTCTACAGAGACGCCAGAGAATGTAAACTCAGCCTGCAGTTTGCCTTTTCCCCCTTGAGCTGGTCCCTGCAGAAAAGGGTAATGACTGTTGGTGGGACAAGGCAGGGGATGCCTGGCTGGCAAGTTCCATGTTGTACCTGTTCTGTGGCTAACAGAACTCACTCTAGTAATATGCTCTTTAATACAACCACTGGAATTTCTCCAGGCTGTCCCATGTGCAGAGGGGTTCTGGTTTTCTATGGCCTGTTCTATTAATCTGCGATTCAGAGATTTAGCTTTAGGACATTATTGGATTACATGTAAAGAAACTGCTTGAACTTTGCGTGTTCCCCAATGACGAATTAAGTGACATGCCATTGTTTCTTTTTCTTCCATAAATTCAGCACCAAACACTGCGAATCCAGGCGCAACATCTCTTGAAAGCTTTTTAACGAAATCGAGAGAGGAGCTCCTGGAGTGTAAGTAACCTGACGTGTTATGTTTTAAAAATCACTGATTCGTATTATGATCACATTAGACTTCAGTGGTATTATGTGACTCACGTCTTTCTGGATCTTTGCATCGCTATGGCTTTATTAATGTACTGAAATTGCCGGTTAACTGATATATATGAGGGGAGTTACTAGAAAAAGGGTAAGGCCGTTAACTACTAAAATACTGGACCTGTTGCCAGAGTAGGTCAAATTCACTGCTAGCATAAGTGTGACACTAATTTTGAGGTTCACTCACTTATGGCCCTGCTGGCTTGGGATCACTGTTCCAAATGAGTTTGCTGGGATATGGTATAAAAATTCAACTCCGCAGGTGGGGTTCATTGAACGTTAATGGCATTTAGGCTCCGAAGGCATTTTTAAAAATGAGAGTTGGGCTCCTAAAAGAAGGGAGACTTCAGACTGGAAGATAGTAATTGCAATGGTGGGATCGGACCCATGGCCTATCTAGTTCAGTATCTTGTCTGCGGCAATGGCCAGCACCAGATGCTTCAGAAGAAAGCCCACAGTGGGCAGATAAGGGATCATTTCCCCCACCCCAGAAAGGTCTCTTGCTGACCCCTAAGAGTTGCGGATTGGTTTCAAGACCCACAGTGTGAGGCTCTCTCCCTTCCACTACTCTCTGCTCACGCTAACCGTTAGAACGCTGGTGATCCGCCTACAGCTACGCCGTGTCGGTGGCATTGTGGAATGCTTGTTATGTTGCACGTGTATCATTGCCTGGCTTGCCCTTTGGCACTACACTTGTGGGGTATGGCCTGGGGTTCTCGTGCCAGTTGAAGCCGGGCATGTTGCAGAGCTCTGTCTTGGGAGGGGTGGCCGCCTCCAGGCAGGGGTGTAGGTTGGTGATGGCATATGCCTTTAAGTGCCACATCAATAACCCCTGTGCTGCCAGAGTACCAGGGCTGTGCTGTCAGTTCCCTTGGGATACAGCGAGAAGGGATCCTTCCACTCTCCTCCGCCACCCTGAAATCACCCAGGCAACAGGGCAGCAGTCGAGCCACTCCACAACCACGGCCATTGTCTCAGGGCTACAGGAGCCTCCACGGCTCCTGGCCTGGGCCCCCAGCCTGCTGGAGGAATGACTGTTGGCGCTGCAGAGTGGTGGATCAGCAGGCGCTGCCTTCATCCCGTTCCCATGTACTGACCCTGACTGCAGGCATCTTGCTCAACACCCACGCTTCCCTATTTCTGTGCACCAGTTCTGCTGGATCGGAGCCAAAGAGTAGCAGCTGCAGGGTTAATTCCCTGGAGGCCGCACTTCTTATGGTCGTCGGTTGGGGTGTGTGTGTAATGATCTTGAGGATACATGGTTTGGTGGGATGGGTTGTGTTTTTAATCTGTCCTTATTCGTTAACACATCACTAGCTCTTTCCCTTTACATGTGGCTGTGATCAGACTGTGTGTAACTCTGTGTCTGGGTTAGGGGATCATGTGGCCAGAGAGCACTGAGGGGTGGGTGTGTGTGTGTGTGTGTGTGTGTGTGTGTGTGTGTGTGTGTGTGTG